AAGTAGGAAGAACATATTCAAAGCAGATTTTCTTTCAGTATTCATAAAATGACCTCAGACAACAGGGGTTCAAGTGAACTTTGGTTTTGGCTATTTCTCCATCTCTGCTGCTTGCTAAGTGTTTAGAATCACAAGGGGTTCATGATTCTCAGCTCCTTTCAAGGATCTGCTCCTATACCATCAAAAGCCACATTGCATTGTTTTCTGTCAGTCTTGAGGGTGCTGAACATATCAAAAATTGGAGGACTGAAAACTGAAGATATTTAGGTCCTAGATTTACTGTAACTCTGCAGGACCATTTGAAGATTAAAGAGTGTAGCACATACAGACATATAGATTTGCTGGTTTTTAGAAACAAGCTCATTCCATCATTCCTGTATCAGTCTGTGAATGTACATAAGCACTTCCCAAAATGCAGCCACTAGAAAACCAGTCTTTTCTTTGTAAAGAAGAATTTTACATATTTAGCCAATTGTTCCATACATAAAAAAAGATGCACTCTCTAAGATCACACTATATTTAAAACTTTTTTATTTCTTTTGAATAGGACTATTGGGGGAACAAGCATAGGAAGGACTCTTGCAACAATCATCAGTATCTGCTCTTAGCTTTTATATTTTAGAAGCTTGGCTACAAGCCCATAGAATTAGTCAAATTTTGTGTTCAAGGAGATTAATGAAGCTTGTAAAATGAGCAAATGTGTCTGAACCTCTTCCAGCAATTATATTTTTTGATTTTTGTTTAATAGAGACAGCTTTTCTTTCCAGAAAGGCTACAAAATGACATATATGAAATGGAACTACAGTAATTCATTGTTCTAAGACTGCTTTTCCCAAAGCACTATCATGACTTGTCTATCAGACACATTCTTTGCCTTGGGATGCAAAGACACTTAACATACATACCCAGTATAACTGCAGAAACCATGCCTTTCTATTCCTGTGAGTCCTAGCATCCCTTTCCTGGGATTAGTCCCAGAAGAGTTTTCCCACAGCAAATCTCCACTGCATTCTATTGCAAGGATTTGCGCCCACCATCCACAGAAGAGAAAGAAAAACCAGGGCAGGATGGGAAGGACTGTGTGGTTTGTGCAGGTCTGACCTCAAATATCATATGTGCCATGAGATAGTGGAAGGTCAGAGGTGGCTTTCTTGGCACTCTGGCTGTCTGCATGCCCCACACTTCATCCACTTCCCATTATATTTAGCTGGGCAACAGCATATGCTTTGGATCCTTGTCACCCATTCCACTAGTCAGTAGTGCTGCATAGATGTGGAAAAGAAAAATATGCATATAAAACAAATGGAGGTAAAGAAGGAGAGGGAAAAAAATTTATATCTATCTAGCAATTCTTTCTACCCACTCTACAGACCCACCTCTGAGCTTGGATCTGAGAGGCAAGAGTGCAAATAAATGTGCTTCCACTTTCCTTTTTTTTTTTTTTTTTTAACCACACTGTGTTCCAAATGCAATTTTAATAAGGGTACTCTCCCTATATTTCCAAATAGCTTTGTTTTGTATCCATAGAGAGGTGGAGGAAGAAGGGGGGTGGAAACCTGAAAAAAAGACTCCAAAGTGATTAACTCTGAGATAATGAAGTCCAGTTTTCTATGAAGCACACGTCATGGAGTGAATTGCTGCTTGCTTTGATTTGTGCTTGAAATGTGAGACACACTGATTCCCAGATGGCTGTTTCATTGTGCAGAAAAGCAGAGAACACATACATTTCAGTTAACTTGCATATCTTTTCATTTATTCATATAATTGTGATATATATTCCATATTCTAGAATGAACCAGATGGTGAAGGGAAGGCTTACAGTGCAGCAACATTCCCATTCAATAACCTTGGCTGTCTGCACCAAACTCTTTACTGTGCCAGGTGTTAACATTTGGCTGCTAAAATTTTGCTCTCTGGAACACACTGGGTGAAAGAATTCACAATCTCACATATTCCCTTCTTGATATGCATAGTAAATTCCCTGTCATGCTAATAAGAATTGCAGGTACACATCAAGGGTGAAATGTGCACTCCCTAATAGAAGCCATATCTGATGTTACCATGATAAGTTTTCACCATGACATGTTAAAAAGCATTTCTAATAAATAAAGCTTTGGGTAGGAAAGACTGCAAGTTACATTTTCAGAAAAGTTCATGGGAATTCAGCCTGCACTCCTGTTTAACAATAACGGGAGTGGTGTGTGTAATTCCACCCACAGAGCCGGATTAACTAAAAGGATTTATTTTCAAGCAGTGAAACTGCTAAATTCTGGTACCAGCAGCAGAAATGTCTGCCAGTATCCTGTAAGCCTTTATTTCCCTAAGGCCCATAGCATATGACATGTTTGGATGATGTTTAAACCATCCCCTTGTGTATGTTCATCTTATGTATTTTTATTATTCTTTTAATTATCTGCATATATATATTAATTCCAGAAAGTACAAACAGGCTTCACTGTCATTTCTCCACCACACTTTATATTATAACATCACTCATGAATGCTAGTTACAAGTTTCCAGGCAGACATGCGGTTGATCTAAATTTGTGGGACAACAAAATTCAGATATCTGCTTTCAATTTGTGTGCATGTTTCGCTCTGTTATTTTCTTTTTATGGTAGTATTAATTGTTACCAGAAGTCTGTATGAAATGACTGAGGATTCAAATGCTGGAATGCAGACATCAGAAAGGGCTCTTTCACTTGCTGTTAAGTGAAATATGTTCAGTTAGTTTATTATTTAACTTGAGTATAACAGCTAGAGATCTGAGTTTTGGACATGGAAGAAGAGCCAAGAGTCTTGTCTGACTCAAATGCCCAGTGCTTGCGTAGTCACTTAATTGCTTGGAACTACATATAAATGTATAATTTCCAGAAGTACAGTCTCTGGAGAACTAGTTGTTTTTTTAGGGTTTTTTGTGGGGTTTTTTGGGGGTTTTTTTGGGTTTTTTTTTGTTTTTTTGTTTTGTTTTTTTTTTAATCATTGTGCCCAGATTAGTGAGGGCTAAACACTGTATTAACAGAAAGAATGAGTGGCTTTATCCACTTGGCTGGATATCAAAATGGAACTGTTCCATAAATGGTCTGATCCAGTACTCACTGAAGGCAGTAAGTCTTTCCATCGAGTTCAGTGGGCACTGGTTTAATTACTAATTGCTGTACTGCAAAACCAAAGGGATGAGTAACTCCAAGTGCTGATTACCCATCACTGAACTGTCTCTGCAGAATCAATGGAGGGAGTCAGGTCTACCTCCAGGCAGGTGTCTGAAAGGCCACACTTTTTCAAGTGTGTTAATCTATGAATGATCTAAAAAACAGATGGCAATTATGCAGTGGTGCAGGTAAACAAAAATTTAAACATAAGGAAAATTTTATCCCAAAATCTCTGCTTGTCTGCTGCTGCTGCCCCTCCCCAGAAAGGCATAGGTATCTAATGATTTAATTGTAAGCAATTTTAAAAAGGTGTAGGCTATCCAACGTATTGGTTATACAGTCTAAAATTCTCACTGCCCCATGGAATATGCGCCTAAATATCCCTTGGAGGTAATTTTAGGAAACCTGAGGAAGGCCTGGGACTGCAAGAGACAAGGAAGGGCTGTGGCCAGCATTTCAAGCAGCCGCCTTGTAATGTCAATCTGTCACTGAGGATCCTTGGGTAAAACCCAGTCAGGTGTAAGGAGCCCAAAGCTAGGACTTGCCACAGCATCTTTTTTTGTGCTTCATCCTTTTTGCCTGTTTGGGTTACACATTCAAATCTCTTCCCTCATTTAAAGTGTATTAATTGATAAGAGCTCACAGCAGGATCTAAGCATCAAGATTTATCTTTGCAGTCTGTCATAAGTTGTCTTCTCTGCTGAAACTGTTTGTGTCCCAGGGAAGGAAACGTAACATGTGAGTGAAGTTAATGTTACATACCTCAGAACAGGTAGGAGTCTAAGCTGCCTGTATAATCACAGCTGAAGGCTTGTTCTGAATCATACAAGTACTTAAATCATACAGGTCTTAAATCCTACCTCTCTCCATTGACACTAAGGGCAGCTAAAGTACAGACCACACAAATTTCTAATATTAGGTGTTAGAAATATCTCCTTCCAAATATTATCCATCAATTGCACCACTCCAGAAACACTGTTGGTCACTGGCCATTTTGCTATTGTGGCATAAGAGTCAAAGTCATACTGCTCTTGTGACAATGACTTGCAAATGCGAGTATCCAGTATGCAGGATGCATTTTTGTGCTTTACTACTCTAGATAATGAAGGCAGGATGCAGATTTTGTCTGTGTGCCCTTCTGATCTGATTCAGAGTGAATGGGAATTCTGCCATGCCAGGGAACCAGTTAATGACAGCTTGCACAGTTTCACAGAAAACTTAAGTTTTAGAAGGAACATAGATTTCCCCTTTTGTAAGTAAGACAGTGGTAAAGTCAGTGCCACAGATAAAGAAAAGGTAGAAAGGATTATTCCTGATAGACACAAATTCAAAAGCATGTCTTCTGTTTTACTTAGAACAATGTTCATTTAGTGAGGCTTTACTCCAAGCATACTGTAAAGCTACATTGCTACATGTCCTCCCATCATCATACCTATGCAGTCTAAATGCTGCGAATGTATGCATCCAGGACAGAGCTCAATCACTTTCTCTCATAAATGACTGACAGGCTGATTGCATACAGGCAGCAGTCAGCCGAAGCTCTGGTAAGGGGCCATATGTTGCTAGGAGACAAGGCCTAATGGCATGGGGAGCTATATGCAGGGGAGGTGATGGAGCTGGGGATCAGGGCAGGGAATATAAAAAGAGGAAGACCATTTTGTTTTTATCTCTGTAGCATAACCAGTGCATAAAAGCCTCCTTTCTTTCACGTTCATACAGCAGGAAGCTCCATCTTTGCAAATGTTGCTGCTCTCCACACTCATACATTAGAGGGAAAACTCATGACACCACAAGTTCACACTCCACATGTAAGTGGGCAAGTAAATTCAGACAAAGTGAAACTTTTTTTAAAAAAATAGTCATTTATTTATTTATTTTAATATTTATAAAATAACTGTAGGTAGAAATTGAGTTTTATGCTCAACTTAACTTGTAACAGTAGAAGCCTTTCAAGGAGCTGAAGGTGGTAGTCTGATGCATAAAACAGGAAGATGGCTGCTGCCACAAACAGTCATATTAGTACTCTGGTTGACAGATGGACCAGCTGACTGAAAAAAAGAGAAGAAAGAAAAAATGAACTGTGATGGATGCAGCAGCTAATTATCAGTGAGTCAAAAGACTCTCGTGATTGAGGTGGAAGAGTATTTGTGAGATGCAGATGTACAGTGATTGTTCTTTAATTATTGCTATTACCATTTTAGAGAAGGGCAACAAAGTCCTGAGTAGAAAGTAACACAAAACAAAAAGAGATATAATAGAGAAAAACAGAGGGGAAATGGAGCATTCTGAGAATGAAATATATACTGTACTTTTTTTTTTTCTCTTTGAGATATGGATGGAAAAGATAATAGTCATCTCTTCTGGTTATCTCTTTAAAAGGCTCTTCACTTTTGTGTTTTGTTCCTTTTAGAAATGCATAAGAGATAAGATGAGAACCCTATTTAAAAAATGTACACTGCTCATCTATTTAAAATTTAGCATTCCATTTGTGGCGCTTTTCATTCTAAATGGAAAAAAAACAGGAAAAATACTTCAATGCAAAAAAACATATTAAAAAAACCCACATACATGTGGTTTTGACCTATGGGCCCATTTTGTGGATCACTTTAGATAGGGATCATGCAGTCTTTCTTTAAAAATATAAAAAATAAACTTAGGAGAGCAAGAAAACTGTATCTATCCATATAATAAATCAGAAACCATTACAAGCCCTGTGGAAGATAACCGTCTATTTTCCAGCCAAAGAATCTGAAGGGAAAATACCTTTTATTTTGTAAAAGTATGTTTGATAGAAATATGGTAAAGCAAACATCAACAGAGGATCTTGTGGCTTGAAAAGAAGAATCATGAATATTAATTCAGGAAATCAACACAAGAGATGTACAGAGCACACTGTTCATTTAAAAAAAAAAAGAAAAAAAAAAAAAAAAGAGAAAGAAAGGAAAAAGAAAAGGTGATAAGCCACTGATGTGCCAGAAAGAGACAGAGCAAAGGCAACAATAATGACATGATTCAGGTATGTAAATGAAAACACTCCTGGCAAGAAAAAGTAAAGAGGGGCTGATAAAAGTAACCTCTTTTAGTACTTTCTACTAGTACTGTGCCTTTTGCAATGTGCCACTTTAGAAAAGCTGAGATCATAGCAGATCTCTGGATGTAGATCAGGTTTTATCAAAGCCTTTTGCTTTGTCTGGATGTTGAACAGAGAGTTGTATTTTAACAAATGCAGAAATAATGAGGGTTACAGATATCCAACGTAAGCACAAAAAGATACACTCCACTCTAATATTTCAAAGCATTCAGACTCACAACTGAAGCAGAACTGAGGATACACAAAATTCCAACATGTAGTCATCAGGATTTCTGGTAGTAAGGAGTCTCAGTCACATATCTTTCCTTTTTCCCATTCAAAGCAAAAGGTTATATTCTGCTGAATTTTAAAAGTGTTGTGTAGGTATTATGTGCACTTCCCTATATACAGTATGTATGAATTGGCACTTTAAAGCAATTTTTAGAAGACCCTCAGTCAATTATAAATGAAACTAAATTTTTGCTTTTCTGCATGACTATACATTATATCATTTTACTAAAGGACAGTACACCTGGTCTAAAGCACACATTTAGATATGTTAGCACTATATCTGAATACAAAGATTAATATTATTTTAGCTAAAACAAGTTGTTCCTTTGAGGGGTTTCTCCTTTTATACTTCTTCCTCTGGATTCTAAGTCACAAGTTAAAATAACTGTTTCAGTTAAGCATGGAGAAATTTAACCTCTTTAGATTTTCATGAAAGCTTCTTGGTCTGTGTATTGCTTTTCTCCACATAAAACTTTACATTTGCATGATAAGCAGTGAAGTAGTTGGTTTAATTATTATTTAGCTGGACCCTCAAAAACTTGTTTATATCCCAAAAATGGATGGCAACATCTTGCCTGAGTTACATAATTCCAGCATCGAGGAAACACTCTTTCCATCCATTGGAATTCCTTTTCCCTCATTCTGCCTTGCCTCCTCTGCGAACATTCTTCAACTCCTAGCAACCTTCTTTTTCTCCAGATTTCAAACTGGTATGCTTCCTGAAGATACAGTTTATTCCCACTGGAAAGCTCTACTCACAGAAATTTTCACATAGGATATGTAAAATGAGGCCTTTGTCTCTGCATAAAGTACCTGTGTATTCATATACAGCAAAAGCACTATATATGCCTAAAAACACAAATTCTACATTCACATAAAAATTAAATTGACTGCTCATAGTGACACAGATTTGATCAGCTGTTTTTATTTTTATTTTTGACACAGTTTTGCAACTGGAAACGTAAGGGTTGTGTCTTGCTGAACAGAGAAATGAAGCACATTTTGCAAAGCCATGATGATTTTCCATAGTAATTTTTCATTAGTATTACTTATTTTTCATTGTTCAGGAAGTCAACACTACAGAAACTGTTCCATACTTGGTATTGAAAAGAATAAAACATTTCTCGGCAATAATTCAGTAATACTATCTTTGTTACAGAAGTTTAGCATTATTTTCACTGAGCTCCTTTGTACCTTCTGAGGAAATCTGGGAGATATGTAAAGCCTAAAAGTCCAAAATAGCTGGCCCCAAGATTATCCAAACCAGGGAATTTATATCGGTGGGATGACCAGGAAGTGTAACATATAAACAACTAATATCTTGCTGGCAGTACTCCAGCTATCTGTCTTCTAATGAAGAGGCTTTGGAAGAAGATTCTGCTATGTCCCAGCAGTGGAATTCAGGATAGAAAGTAGATTTGAAGGTCTTAGAAATGCATTTTTCTGCTACCTTTTCTCTTCAGATTTGCACCATTGTGCCCTGTCTAGACTGTTTAAAATATTACTTTATCAGAGGGTCCATCATCCCATAAGCCATGGAATAATGCAGCCATGAAGAAAGACATCCAGGAAAATCACAAAAAGCCATATAAAGGCCAGATTCTGTTTTTTAAAAACCAGCAAAAGTAGATGCTTAAGATACTAGGATGTATCTAATCAAAACAAGGAAACATTATTGGTATTGTTTAAATAATTTTATCTCCTTATGTAGAATACTGTGCATGATTCTAATAACCCATGTTAAGAAAAGATTAATTTAAATTGTAACAGCTACACATTGCAGTAGTTGAACTGATTAAGGAAATAGGGTTCTTATTTTATAAGCTATGCTTACTTGGGGGTACAAAGTTTTTTGCACAGTGCTGACAGGAATATCTATACTGGCAAAATTTCTGTGCAGTAGATTGGGCTTTGAGAGTCAAGCTTATTAGAATGACTAGAATGAAATCTACGATGGAAGGGAGAAATGGGAAACAGCTACGAGGGACAAGACAGAAGGGATGTGCATGCCTTCTATAAACAAACCAAGAGGATAAATGTCAACGAGTCAAATAAACTATTTAAGATAATGGAAAATGTTGGTGTTAGGAGATAGGCATAGAAATTGGCTCCAAATGAAAGTAAACTGTCAAAATTACTAGCATAGCAAAGCACTGGTGTCACTGATCAATGGGAACCTTTACAACCTTAAATCCTGTGTTGAATATCATACCAAAAAGGTGTGGCAAGATTTCAAAATTTTCTCCTTTTGACTTCCAAATAATGCCTTATCCTAGTAAATATTATTAAAAAAAATTAAAAGGCATAAACCAGACACTTGCTAGCACTTTGCCCAGGCAAGATGTCATTCCTTTCCCTTGTCATTTAATTATTTCTCCATTTAATGCTATCCAGCAAAAGTATGATCTGTGGTTATGAAGTTTGATTAGCCACTTAAAGCAGACAGAAAAACTTTATTGGTACAATATTTGCTTTTGCATGTGTTGAGTAGTCTATAACACAGACATCCAATTGTCACTCGTCATAAATCTACAAAGCACAACTACCATACTGCATGCGTATCCTTAAAGCTACAGTTACAAATTAAACTTTTATTGGTGCATCTATTTTTCTCACTGAACAAAACAACTACAAAGCAAATTGAGAACTGCCAGGATACCACTTGAGCATTAACTTGGTAGCTGTCTCCCCACTGTGCTGGCACAATTTTAACTCTTCTTCCTACTCAAGGGTCTTGTAGCACAGCTGTGGCCCAAAGGCAGTCGTGTTTGGCACTTACAGACCCAGATGACAACGTCTGGTGTGTCTCTTTCCAAAAGCAGCAGCAGCAGCGACATCTGGATCTACTGACAGCTCGAGGGTTTCTCTCTTGGCTGGGTTCCCCCCCGGCAGCTGTGGAACTGCCTCTATTGCTGTCCTGAGGCTGGGCTCTGGTGAGGCAACTGCTCCCTCCTCCTGCTGTGATTATGAGATTCCTCACTGTGCGCTTCTAATCAGCCTCTCTCCTCAATTGCATTACACTGAAAGCAAAGGGAAGAAAAGGGGAAAGGGGAAAGGGGAAAGGGGAAAGGGGAAAGGGGAAAGGGGAAAGGGGAAACAAGAAAGGGGAAAAAGGGGAAAGGGGAAAGGGGAAAGGGGAAAGGGGAAAGGGGAAAAGGGAAAGGGAAAGGGGAAAAGGGAAAGGGGAAAGGGAAAGGGGAAAGGGGGAGGGGAGGAAGGGGAGGGAGGGGAGGGAAGGGGAGGGAAGGGAGGGAAGGGGAGGGAGGGAAGGGAAGGAGGGAAGGGAAGGGAAGGAAGGGAAGGGAAGGGAAGGGAAGGGAAGGAGGGAAGGGAAGGGAAGGGAAGGGAAGGGAAGGGAAGGGAAGGGAAGGAAGGGAAGGGAAGGGAAGGGAAGGGAAGGGAAGGGAAGGGAAGGGAAGGGAAGGGAAGGGAAGGAAGGGAAGGGAAGGAAGGGAAGGGAAGGGAAGGAAGGGAAGGAAGGGAAGGGAAGGGAAGGGAAGGGAAGGAAGGGAAGGGAAGGGAAGGGAAGGGAAGGGAAGGAAGGGAAGGGAAGGGAAGGGAAGGGAAGGGAAGGAGGAAGGGAAGGGAAGGGAAGGGAAGGGAAGGGAAGGAAGGGAAGGGAAGGGAAGGGAAGGGAAGGGAAAGGAGGGAAGGGAAGGGAAGGGAAGGGAAGGGGGAAGGGAAGGGAAGGGAAGGGAAGGGAAGGAAGGGAAGGGAAGGAAGGGAAGGGAAGGAAGGGAAGGGAAGGGAAGGGAAGGGAAGGGAAGGAAAAACATTTCCTTTTAATTTTTCATTTTTCTAGAATGGTCTATTCTTAGCCCTTCAAATGCACTTCCCACTTATTCGCCACATTGGTTCTGTCTGCAAGAATTTCAGCTTCCCAAACAGACTATTTCAGTGTGGGCTTGGCTTTGGTGTTGTTTTGGGGTGGTGGGGTTTTTTGGTGTTTTTTTTGGTTTGGTTTAGTTTGGTTTTTTTTATTTGTTTGATTGTTTGGGGGTTTTTTTGCCAGTTTCTAGGTATAAATGTAATTTCTCTTTAGAAACAGACGGGTAAACTACACCAAATTCAAGATCTGTGCTCTCTGACACAAATGAGCACAATGACTGAGTATCCATATAAGAGCTAGAAGCTGGGCAGAGTTTGTCTTAAAGGTGATGTTTACTGGTCCCTGGATTACTGGATACTGATGACCTACAGGAGAGGAGGTGGAATGAGAGGGGATTATAACTGATATACTACTAGACAGCAGTAGAACAGGGAACAGTATTTGGTGCAGTAGCAATCCAGACTGAAGGAAGGAGTCCTCATTTGGGCTTGCTTATTACCCCTAACCCAATATCTGTTACAGACATAGCTGAAATAGTGAGAGGTGTTGAGGGATGCAGGTAGGCCAGAAATTAAAATAAGAGATTGAAGGAAAAGTCAAAACCAAGGCTTCTGGTGAAGACCTCAGTAGAAACAGAGGGATTCACTTAGAAAGTGAAAAAGATTAAGCTAGCCTTGCAACACAGGACACTTTCAGAGTCTTTGTTATTTTTTAAACAAAACAACTAACAACCTCAGTCCCCATCTTTGCAAAATGTGGTGTGGGAATTTAGACTTATTATTCCAGCCACAGTCTTGTGGCTGAAATCATGTTCAGAGCTTTAAAAATTTAAAGATAAAATGCTTCAGAGTGTGCAAGTGCCAAGAACATACAGGGCTGTCCTATCCCTACAAATAACAACCCAGTAATAATTTGGTGAACTCAGCAATACAGTAGTGACATCAAATGCTGTGTTAAACAAGGAAGTCTCCTGCTCATTTGCTCTAATTCCCTCACACAAGGTTCGTGCTTCTTTTAGGAATGTCTGATCACTATGTGAAACCTAGAGGCAGGAAAGCCAGACAAAACTCTGAGGCTTACTAAAGCTGGAAATCTAGACCTAAAATTCTACACAAAATATAAATTATTAGCACTACAGTGAATCATATATCATAACATAAATTAATAATATATTACTCAGTGAAATGCTAAGTGTGATTTTTAATACTATATGACAGATTTTTTAATTTATGAACTGTCTATTAAATTTAAAAATCCTTCAATTTCTTTCTTCTCTATCATATATTAAAGTCTCCTTTTGTTTGAGCCTCCTAATCCTTCATTTATTAACAATACCACTCTTTCTCTTTTCTATTATTGCTTTTGGGTTCTTTCCTTTCATTATTTCCTTTATTTTCCTTCTACTTTTCAAGTCTCTTGATATTCAATTTTCATGACAAAACTATGTAAGAATTAGACCCAAATGTTTTCTGTCTTTCTTCCCACATATATAATATCTTACATGAATATATTAAACTCATATATGTCATTCTTAGAGTCATCTATAAATAATATAAAATAATAATAGGGCAAATAATATCTATCACCTGTAGTAGATAAAATATGGCAGCTTCTCTCTCTGGAGTTCTTTCTTTTCTACTGGCTTTAGTACCTAGAAATTAGTCTAATGTGGACCCCAGATCCAGATAAGCCTCAGTAGAAGGGGTTTTGCCTGCCAGATACCTACTATATAAACATTTATATATGCATCTATGTTGATTATAATTTTCTCAATCTCTGTTAAATTGAAACCCAGGTCAAAAAGTACAAGGCTAACATTAAAATAATAAAAGAGGAAAAAAATTACTTCCCTTGTAATTATATTCCTTTGTGCAAATGTAAAATCCCATAATCAAAACTGCACATAATTGCCAGTTAGTTACCTTAAGCACACTGATTTGTGTTATTTTTATAAAAGTCCCAGTCCCTTTATAACATGGTTACCCTTGGGAAGGTCCACAAATAACATGATTTTTCAGAACTCAAATTTTTCTAACTCAGTCATACATAAAAATGGATGTTTTCTAAATGTTATTGTAACATTTCTTTTTCTGCTTACACCACAGTGTTTACCCATAGGCTTTTGAACGGGCATTTAAATTGGAGAAGACCCAGAGTGCATCTCTGCAACCCCCACGTTATTTAGCAGTCCACTGCAGTAGCAAGAGTTGCAGGGGGGATTGTGCAGAGCCTTTGGGATACCCAGCACCAGCAAAGCCATGTGTAGCAGTCACCACTGAGCTGTTCTACACATAATTTTTGATCTAACACACCCAAACAGGATGAGAGAGAAGAGGGCTTTGTAATACAAGTGGCATAAATGATCACATCAGCAAGGTCATCTGAGCAGTATCCCTAGCTAGTAAAGATTTTTCCTAGTGGTCTCACAAGTAGAAGGGAAAAAATGGTATCCAAAATGCTGTTACTATCAGTGATTTGTGAATCATGCCATGTGGTATATGGATGTCATAGTGTATGTAGTGTGCAGGAGAGATTTGCAAGCCATTAAAGGAATTATTCTATTGTGAAGCACTTGAATAAATTTAAGCACATGAGTTTCAGCAAGTGAATTTAAACTATTGTGGCTGTTCTTTTTATGTGTGTCTTCTTGTACTTTTGGGTGCTAAATTTTAATATAGACCTTTATTGTTTAACTGAAATAATTCTCAGATCTTAAGAGGATTCCTGGGCAAGTGCCTGAAGACTGAAATAGTTTTCACTGATAGATTCTAAAAACTCATTGGCTTGCACATTCTCCTGCTGAAATGCTTGAGTTTTGCACTGACACCAAAGAGCAGTTCAATTTTTAGTCTGGGCTTTGGTCCCTACATTGTGTCTGCCAACAATGGTGTCAGCTGTAATCTAGACACCTGTCTGTTAGAAACTACACTGAGACCACAAACTCATTTCATACAGATCACTGAAAAGACATTAGATGGCAATAATTGCTGTTACTTCCAACCTGGATTAGATTTGAAACAACAACCTAGGATTCATATTCTATTACTGGTCCCCTGAGTTGTTCACTACTCTTGAATTCTTTCTCTGATGTTGTGTTATGTATTCTTGAAGTAATATATCAGATTCCTGATTCTGTGCACAAAGGGAAGAGAATTCATAGAAATAATTCTTAGGTGTATGTGGATTTGTATCAAAAATATATATAGTATAAACCAAATCTATTTTAGGAACATTAAAATTCTGATACCTTCCCAGAAAACAAAAATTTCTGCCCTTCTCAGGTTGAGATCATTTAAACGCTCCTGCCCCTAACAAGTGTAGGTTTAGGTTATTTTTATCTGCAGCACACATAGTGCAGACCCAAGTATTTTAAGGTTACTGAGTATCACGACAGGATCCTCAGTGGGACTAAAATACGTTGTTGGAATAAATCCTTTACTGAAATAGATGGATTTGCACCAGTAAATTCCAGCAAGGAATAAAGAACATGAATTCTTGAAATATCCTAGTTCGGGGTGGTATATGTGTTAAAAAATATACATATTGTTATCAGCAATACCAGTAAAATATTTTGCATAGACATATATGGCACCAAATAGCCATCATAAATGACTATTTTATAACTCTATTGTAAATTAACGGTACATATTTGACCTCACAGTAAATTATGACTGTGACAAACAGCATTTTTGGTCTTGTATTTTTTCAGCCAAACCCAGTGGATTTAGCACTGTTCAAACCTGTATTACATCTACACATAAATAAAATCAGCAGTAGGATTCATTCATTTCATAAGTATGTATCATCAAAACCTCTTTTTAGTTAAAAAAAAAAAAAAGGAAAAACAAAACCCTGAGTCCTAGATAATACTTTCTATACAGTGCTGTGTTTAACTGAGAGTTCATGTTTACAGCTCAGTTGTAAAAAGCTGAGGAAATAGAGCTTTGTTACCCAGACACTGATGAAACTCTAAATAGCATTGCAGGCAGAGCTGCATAATGAGTACATATTAAAATGTCTTTGGTGTCTTCTAAGAGTGCAGAACATTACTTGTTACTCTGACCATAAACGTATAACAATTGTGGTTTTGTAAAATAAGTTGAAACCTCCTGCAGTCTGAAATACAGAACAATGCAGATGACTAATTTGAATCAACAAGGTTCCATGTGGCATGTCACAGTGGGATTCC